TGTGTATTTGGTGTAATTAAATGTGTTTATGCGGTTTAAGGTTCAAAAAACACATTATTTTCCACATACTGTACATTATTGTTTCTCCTCTATGCCCCGCCTTTCTGAAACGTGTCGATTTTTACAAAGCTCATCGGTCTGAAAAGCGAGGTGTGCTGTGATTGGCCAGCTATCCAGTGCGTTGTGATTGGCCGAATACCTCAAGCGTGTGACGGAAATGTTACGCCCCTTACCATATTGTGATGCCCTGTCCGGTCAGAGCGTAACATAAAACCATGTCTGCATTTGTGATCGAAGAAATGACAAACAACAAATGCTACTCTACACTGCCCAAAAAACTCGCGTTTGAATCGTCAGTGGCAAATTCTTTAAATATAAAAAAGATTGGGCTGACATTTTTGACACACCCAGCAAACAAGAGAAAACATATCTCAAACCCCGTTGCACACCGTTTCCAGGAAACATGTCGTTCAACCCGGAAACCATAGCAAAACGTTGCACACCGGTTTGAGCTTGAACTTGCCCCTGTTTAACAGAATGCGGAAGTCCGTTGCGCATAACCCCTATTTTATTCCCTCAAAAGGTGATCCTAGAACAATAAGTTCCTAGTTCCTGCGGTTCCGCCAATAGTTCTAGGAACTATGAAAAGGTTCCTCCAGTGCGAAAGCCCCTATAGATGACCAGAACAATTAATGTATTTAGTGCAATGCTTTATTTCAATGTGTAATTTAAAAAAAAAGAAAGAAAGAAAATTAAACATTTTAAATCGGCACTAAGTGAAAAGCAGTAAAGCATTTTAATTTCTGCTAATCAAACAGATCAATCTGCCAGCATTAAATACAAAAAGAAATAAAACATAAGTGTACACTAGATTATTCGCTCAGAGGGTCTGGAAAATACTTGTCATTTCTTCCACAGTATCATTGACAGTATGAGTAGATGCATTTGAAGCAGAATAAAACATCTGTTCAAAGATGTTGTTCAAAGAACTGTAAAGCTAATGATAATGCCCACTGCAGTGATTGTGAGGCCGATACCGAGAGCCACATTGTTCAGGATAAATGCCATTCTGGAGTTGCTCATCGCTAACCCTCGCTGTCCAGCCAAGTTAGCATCTTGAGTGTGAAAACACAAATGTCAAGGGTCACGTTACTGTGCTCTAAGAAAAAGCACACGATGCAGGAGATATCCAATGCATAGTCTTTAATTATAATCCACAAAGCAAATACCAGGAATCTTGGAGCAGGGTAGCACAACACATTGACACAACTAAACATGACAGTGAACGGACAAAAGGGGCTTTTGCACTGCGTAGTTCTAGGAACTTAGTTCTAGGAACTAGCCAGCAGGGTAGTTCCTAGAGAACCAATTTCTCCCTTGGGCCATTACAGGCTGATGTTAATGTTGATGCTTAGCCTAAATAACAAATATTTTATCGGGAGTATTTATGCTGGGATGTTGTGGAGCTTAGGAGATGTTACAGAACCATTTCATGTAAATTTCTTCGATGTACTGAAAAAGTCTATATAGATTACTTTTATGCGGGCTTTTGCGGGCGGGAGCGGGACAAAACATGAATGTCGCGGGCGGGAGCGGGACCAGATAAGATAGAATCTTGCGGGAGCGGGCGGGAGCGGGACTGAAAAATCTGTCCCGCGCAGGTCTCTACCTCAGATACTCTGCTAAAAACCATCTGCTTGGTTTTTATTATCATGTCTATTGCACTGAAATCATGCATTTTAAAGCCATATCAGTTTAAACTTTTGATTAAGGGTTTTCTGAGTGCACACATCCGAAGTGAACGCACAGAAAACAGCTGTCACACGGCATGTGAGCACTAAACTAAGTTCTCTTTCATGTCTTATTGCGCTTAAACTGTCAAATGCACACAAGTTTATGTTAAAAACACACAGGAGTTACAAAAACAGTGAAGATAAACAGCTGGAAAAGCAATTGCATGTTTATATTAGATCTGTGTGGCAGCAGCTTTATATACAGTAAATAAATCAATAAATCCACTGAAATTATGGGGCGGTAATATTATAATAAGATCCCCTTACCACATCACCGAAGGAGCGAGATCTGACACACTCGTTTTTTCACATGCTTGCAGAAAAAGGCTTACCAAACCAAAGTTACTGGGTTGTCATTTTTCACATTTTCTGGGTTGGTAGATGCACTGTGGACCCGATTATAGCACTTAAACACGGAAAAAGTCAGATTTTCGTGATATGTCACTAAGGAAAAAAAGGTTCTAAATTACAGTTTTTCTCAGTCGCTTTGGTGCATTTCTCAAATCAGAAATGAAATTCTCAAAACTACTTGTTCAACCTCCATATCATCTAGTCACTTGTGCACATCATAAAAGCAGTTTATCTTTCTTTTGAACAAGTTGCGATCTCATTTTCGCCTTTGTGCCCATATTTCTTTTTCTTTTCTTTTCTGTATCACAATGACATTGTTGTGTGTGTGTGTGTGTGTGTGTGTGTGTGTGTTTTGTCAGACCACTAGTAAAAGTGTAACTGTGAATCATATTCAGTCTCTTTCAATCAATATCCCACATACAGTAATGTGTAAATTTGTACTCGAATTGTTTTGAGAAATGCACATACTTCTTTGCAAATATTAAATATTATTTGAGAAATGCACCAAAGCGACTGAGAAAAACTGTAAGATCACAGCATCTCTGAGCAACTCGCACTGGTGTTTCCTTACTGAATCATTCAGTGTTTTGAAAGAATTAGTTGAGTAAATGATTCAATAACACATTCATAAAGTCAGGTGCTGCATCCCAATTTACCTACTATACTACACTCTTAAAGTATATGTTTATTTGGTGAAGAAAACATACATTTTTGAGTGTAACACAAGAGTAGGCAAGCCTTGGGTTGGGACATGAACTGAAAAACCAAAATTCCCTTGATCTTTTGACATATAAGAGGTCATTGTACTATAAAAACATCCTGTAAGTTTCAGAGCTCAAAACTTTGTCGTTAGTCTAAAACAGCTTATATTGAAGGCAGTCTGCCAAAACGACAGCTTTTGGAATGTTCTACTCTCTGATGTAATAGTGTGGATATTTCAGTTAATAGATAGATATCTGATGCAAACATTGCACTACAATGCATTCACAAAGAGGATAAGCTCATTGAACCATTTTATCAAAACATGCAGCATCTATGGAGCTCATGTGAGCATGGACGGGTGGTGTAACATGCTCATCTATAAAAACTATATAAAAAATGACAAAAGGTCAAAGAATATATGACCCATGGCATTCGTGACATTCATCCGATTTTATGATTTTATAAGCTGAATTAGATTTTTATGCTGGTGTAATTTTTTTACAGCATACCTTCTCTAATGAACATGCAGCTCAATAATTGTCTGTTTTTCTTTATATTAAATTATGTCAAATAAAAATACAATTATAAAATGCATAAAAAGTAAGTATTCTTATAATTATTTTATATTTTAATTATACTGTGTAATTAATTATGTTTATTATTATTAAAATAAATCATTTTACTAGAACAATTAGCAGCCTGCCATTCCTCTCTTCAGGAGCAGATGTCAGTATGAGATCACATTTCTGTTAAACATGAGATTAGTTTGAGAATGATCAGATGATTTCTCAGTCTTTCACCTCCCAAACCATGAACTCTTTTAATTAATGAAGATCCTACAGTATTTCAGGTCTGAGACACATATTTACATATTTTACTCTGTATAATTGAATCCCTGTGTCAATGATAAAGAAATAACAATGTTTTAGGACATCTTTTTATTTATTTATTTATTTTTGGCTGCCAGGCTCCTGAAAAGATATTAAAGAATGGAAATTGTGTGTTTTAATGCAAAATAATTTGTTCACTAGGTCCAAATCACACTCTGTCGTTGAAACTACCATTTATAAAACGATCTTTACAGCAAAAAGCGCTATACGTGAATTAATTTTAACTGAATAACAAATTATATATATATATTAAAAAAACATACAAGCCGTGAATCATGTTACAGTTTTTCTCAGTCGCTTTGGTGCATTTCTCAGATCAG